CTGTGGCTATTCCTTCAGAGGCTACTCAGACCACTTTTCACATGACCAGACAACATGCCCTTCAGCCCTGAGCGTGATGAACATTTGCAGGTTGAGATGGGAAGAGAGGGCAGCTGTTGCCGCCGTCCTGACCACACTGACGAGGTCCTTGAGGATAACCCACCAAGCATTCTTCTCAGATCAAAGCATGCAAGTGGAGGGGGTGGAGCAGAGTCTGAGCCCACTACCGGAACCCCTTGCTCTTCAATTAAGTTTCAAAGAGATAAGAACCCAGCTGCTGATCCAGCCCAGAGCAATGTTTGCCATAGGAAGTTATATACATCCCGCCTATTTCACTAGAGAATTCATCAGGTGAGCAGGGAGAACAAAAGCAGAGTCCAAGCAGCCCCCTCGCTGCTGGTCCTGCAGAAAGGGCGCTGGTTTGACCCTAAATCCTGATCCAAGATGAAATTTGTCGTTGATTCATGGGCCCTGCATTTCCCCTCCTATTGTCTGAAAGCCAATTTCAAAGTTGTTTTCGCAGCCCTTCGTGACGTCCCAGTGCAGCTGTGCTAAATTCCAATGCGAAAGCAAAGAAATAAAAGGGAATTGGGATCAGAGTGAACATTAAAAGCCTTCAGAAGAGATTTTCTTCCCTGGAGTGTTGATAGACAGAGAGCCTATCATGGTGGACCCACATGGGGCAGCCCCCTCTGCAGCTGTCGTGGGACATGGCCGACAGACTGGGGACAGTGCAGCCAGATTGAATTGACTCAGATAAGAACCTTGATTAAAGCCCTTAAATCTTGCTGGACCACATCTGGCACCCTGCTTTTCACTTTATTTCAGTCTTTATACAGGCAAATCTCTTAGTGAAGTCAGGAAGCATCTTCCTGTCTGCAGTGTGAATAAACACAGGATTAGGACCTGACTTTTCATTTTTACTGACCTATATTGAGTCCATTTTTGTGCTGCACTAAGTGCCTTTGCATGCCACTCATTTGCGCTTGGTTTCTGAGTCATTCCTAACTAATTTTGTGAGCTGGTGGGTAGTACATACCTTCACACTCAGCCCTTCCAGTTAACTTCACAGCACTTTGTTTTATTTTTCTACGCTACCTTGTTCTTGCTGTGCAGAATAAGGCCAAGGATGTCTGGGGTTGCACAAGTCTGAGAGCCTTAGTTTCCGCTTCAGTCTTCACGCTAAGTCCAAATAAATCCTGACCTGCCACTGCTTGAAGCTTCCATCCTTAACCACAGGCACCTCCTATTATTTGATCACAGCAAAAGTCATCAGAAGACACGCAAGAGGCTTCTTCAAGTAAGAGACACTTCCCTTGTCCCCCTCTCAGTCTGGGGTGGGGTGGGGATTTCACACTGGTGAAGGAGACTGCACCAAACTTCCAGCCCACTGCACAGCATATCTCGTATGCCCACAGGGCGCATTCAGTCCTTCCTCTGAAACCATCCCTCGGCCTCACCATGAAGCCTCTGTGTCAAGGGGACCTCCACTACGTGCAGCTCCTACCCACCTTTTATCCCCATCCTACCCTATCAGTCCAGCCTCCCGCACTGTCCAACCCTCCTGCCCAGCCAGTGCTCAGCTAAAGAAGGGCCATAGCCGGAGCAGTGTGGCAGGGACACACTGCAGCTTGGCCTCTTGTTTATTTTCTGATGAGCTCTGGGAAGGAATTTGCCCTCCGAAGCCTCCTGCAAGTCCCAGTGTGATGGATCTGGACGTGCCCTTGCACGCACTGGCAGACACGGCGTTCCATGGTGCAGCATCAGGTTCCTGCAGAGCTGGTTTGTGTGTATTCAGGAGTCTTGCTTCATACCCAGCTTTCAGCAGCTGCCAGGGCTGATGTCAGACCCGACTCACAATAGAGTTTTCAAGTCTTTCTCAGCTCCTCTGTTCTCTCTTCACAGATATCCTGTAGACTTTGCACCGGGAAGGGACGATATCCACCAACTGTTCAGGGACAACGTACCCACCTCTGATTGTACATTTCCACTTCCCTGCTCTCACTGAGACTAAACCAGGACAAAGCATCTCTGTACCTTTGATCTATGCCTACATAATAGAAACTCTCCTTTTAGTGAAAGGCTCGAACCTTGACACCAGCTGCGACACACAGCTTGGTGGCAGCAGTAAAGCAACACGCTAAGCCTCCGTTTGCATTTCCCTTTCTTTTCCTTACTGGCCTTTCTCAGCAACTGCCTCACCCTAACGAAACATTTGCCACCTCACCTAGCTTTGAAACAAGAACCTGTTCTATAGGTTTTATGGCTAACGTAGCCTTGAGTTACCAAGTAAAATACACCTCACTCCTGTGGCTTTCACTGTCTAAAATACTTTCTAAGCTTTGTTACATTGCTGGCTTTCCTTCCAGTTTCTGCCCACTGTCCCTTTTATCTGGCTGGAATATTTATTGGAGCAACATTCCTTGTGCCTCGAGAGAAGACAAGACTCCTGTGCTGGAGGACAAGGACGAATGGTCCTTGCTGTGGGGTCGAGAGCTGGAGGATAGCTGTTCTCCTCCTGGCTCTATAAAGAAGACTCAAATCACTATGTGGCTGCCCACATCGCAAAAAGCCGAGCACCACAGTGAAGCACAGGCAGCCCAAATGCTTCTGTTGTTTGCTTCTACACAAGTCAAATTAAATACATGAGGGTGGGAAGACATATTGAGCTGTGGCTGCAGGAGACAGAAATTAATACGTCCAGAAAATGTCGACATGTTGAGAGACCACTGAGCCTAATAGCTACTGTGTCTGAGCACCCCAGGGAAGGCTCCAGCATTTGGACATTCCTGGTCCCCCTGGACCACATCCTGGTGCTTAGCAGTGCAGTCCCACCGTGTTCAGACAAATCTGAACATGAGGAAGGGGCCCAGATTTGACCCTTGCAGTGGAATACAGGACTGGAGGAGCTAACTTTCAGAAGCATCATGCGTATGTTGATGGGAGGGTACCAGGAGACTATCTGCCTCTTTGGCATCGGCAGATGCACCCAGCAATCTGTAGCAAGGGATCTGCAGTAACTTATGAGCAAGGTTAGTCCTTTTCATACACTACGGTAACGTGGGTTTAATAAATGGAACTTTTTCCAGGACTTATTGGAAATAAGCAGCCCAGGACATAATGTGCAGCCCTGTACAGCTAGGGCAGTGCTTGCATCACCACTTAACTTAAAGTCTTTTACTACCTCACCACCTACACACCACTTCAAGGCTTAGCTCTTTCTGGACAGTTTTCTAGATTTCCTAAGCCTCAGTCTACACTGGACTCCAGAAATCATAAGCCACAGCTGACTAAAATGAGGGGTAGGATTACTGAAAATCACTGCCAAGTTTTAACAGATTATATTGAGCTCGCTTTTTGGCTGCCTCCACTTTCACACCTAATCAATAGACCCTCAGGGAAACCCTCCAGAGCTCTCCATAATTTTGGTTATTTGCAAATCCTTGGTCTTGTAAGCAATCAGCTGGGAAGCAGTGGCATGCAAAGTCAGCCTTATGAATGGCTTTTCACAGAAATAGTCTCAGAACCAGAGGAGTTGCTTGCTCTCTCTACCCTGACATCATCGTACATCTCCCTCCTGCTTCCCTGCCCCACTGCTGCACATAGTCTACATTGCAATCTTTCAATGAAGATCACAAATACATATGTAGTGGCAATACCCACCTTAGTACTCTACTGGCAGGTTCTGTGCAAATCAAATGCGCTTTCCCAGTGTCAAATCACCAGGCTTGATAAGGCATTTGTGCTGCATGGTCCTTTACATATATTTGCTACAACGCATTTCATATTCAGGGCTCGTGTGGCGGGCCTGGACCCAGGGAGGCTTTTGCCCGTGTTGGG